TCGATTGACATTACACTTGAATAGCTGGAGATTATAGCTCACAGGGAAACAGGAGAAGGGAAGGGAGTTCCCCAGGCGAGAGGTGTGAGACGAAGCTATTAGAGTAGAAGAGACTGCTACATTTAGGGTTTTCGACAGTGAGGGTGAGGCGGGATGCCAGCCTCGTGGGCGCTGGAACTCATAGCGTCTGGGAACCAGCGAATGCAGCTCTCGGAATTTCCATGAAAGTATTTATAGAACAGACAGAGGGAAGCGGCAGGCGCATCTGTGAGAAAGTGACTGTAGGCAAGAGGCGCCAGGGGTGCAGGGCCAACTACATTGCATATCCGCCTCTGGAGCCTATCAAGAACCCCGAGGCAAACAGAAGGGGCACCAGACCATATATAGCAGCAATACTCCATGCAAGAAGGGCGAATTTGTGGATTTATATATCTGGAGGATCGACTCGGGGAGAAAAAAAACTTCCTAAGCGGCTCAGGGAGCCAACTTTCCTTGCAGTGGACGAGGCAATTGACTTCGATTTATTTATTCCATCTCAGGTCAGCAGTCAACGTGAGACCGAGAAGCCACAGAGACTTGCTCTCGAGAAGTTGAGCGTCAGACATTCTAATGGAGGGAAGGGAAGGATCTCTGTGGTGATTAATAGAGAGCAGTTTTGTCTTAGAAGCATTGAAGTTGACCAGCCAGTTCATGCCCCAGTTCACAATCGATTTGAGGTCCTTTTCGAGACGCACGGCATGTAGATAAGGAATAGAGTGGGGCCTAGGATGGAGCCTTGAGGAAAACCTGCGCATAATCTTATGCAGAATCCATTTTAAGTAATGCAAAACCCAGATGGATAGAAATGTACATACATGTGCACATGCATATATGTGTGTGCAAGAAAGTATTATTCCATTAACAAAATAGACAAATGATCTGAAAGATGACAGGAACATCCCGGCCCACCCCTTGTTCAAGGAACTTCACTAGACAATTACAACACCGAAAACAACCACAATTGTGTATGTATACATACTCAGACACATGGATACATGTCTCTGCCCAGTCCCACATTGTTCATATATGTATATGTTTGAGTGAACTACAATATGTATACCTACATGTATGTATGTCTGTGTATGTATGAGTGACATCCCATAATGGACACAGAGGAGAATTTTTCCTCCCACTACCATCAAACAACACCAAAGATAACCAAACAGAAATTGGCATAAATAGATCCAAAATTTTAAAAATAAATCAGTTTGTCTGACAATCGCAAGGGCATGAAACCCACGGTCACAAACTTCCATCAATACAACTGTTTGTGTGTGTGTGTGTGTGTGTGTGTATATATATATATATATATATAAAACAAAAAAGGAGAACAGAGAGAGACTTGTATATACATAGAAAGAAAAATAAACCAAACAGAAAATGCTGAAATAGGAAATTAAGAATAGCGAAAAAAAAAAAAAAATATACACAGACAACATTGGGTGAACAGTAGGTAAGAAAGATCAAAACCAAAAGCTATCTATTCAGAGAGAGGGAATGTAAAAATGCAAATGCAAGAAGAAAAAAAAAATTTACTGAAAGAGCAACTATAACAAGAAAAATAAGAAAACTGTTTATATTCCATTTACTTTATTCTGCACAGTATGCATTCAACTAGGTTAGTCAAACACCAAAGTAAAACATTTCAATGCTGTCGAGCATAAAACACACAGAAGAATAGAAAGGAAAATGCTAGTCTAATTCTGTTCAGAAGCTATGTTTAAATTAAGATAGGATAGGAAAAAGAAAAACAACAATTCCAAGTGATATGTCATTGCAAACACAAATATAGACAATTTATTAAGTAACACAAATAGTTCAGAGCAAAACTTTGTATTGTTTCCTACTTTCTTTGTTTTAATCACGATCCAAAATGCAGTGCATACAAAAACTCTTAACATAGAAACTTGGGTAAAATGTCAAGAATGTGAAATTGATGGTACAAAGAGTGCTAAAAAGTTCTAAGCTTGATTAAGAAGGGATAACAAAAATTCTGATGTATTTGTCATTAGGCCAAGAACTTTTCAGCAGATCCTCATTTCAACCACATATTTTTTTCAAAAGTCTACTGCCTTCAAAATGTGTCACATACTTTTCTGTCACTATGGAATAAAGTGTGTGTGTGTGTGTGTGTGTGTGTGTGTGTGTGTGTGTAGGTAGTGTAATGGTTAGCAGCTTGAACAAAAATCAGCAGAGCTCAAAATTATGAACAAGTTGTGAATAATTTTGCACAAATACCCTTGTGAAAGGGTATGAATCCATTTCATCTCCCCAGCTATGGGTTAAATACTTGGACAAACTAGATTCTTTACCTATGGTTGGCAACCAGTCTAGAAGGAAAATTTTGAATTCAAACCTCAGGAGGACTGCTTGGAGACTTGCCATGCACTATTTCTCTGTTATCAGTTTTTCCAAAATGTGTGACCCATTCTATATAAGCCTCCACCACTATAATCAAATCATATGTGCAGATAATCTGGTGGTTCAGTTCTAACAAAAAAAAAAAACTAAACTGTTAGACCCTCATATACTGAAATCGAGAGACAATTTAGAATTATTAGAATTTGTCAGTAGTCCTTCAGCTCATTTGAACAGGATCCTCAGTTTCTTCTTGAAAATAGCTAACGTTGGTGTGTTAACATCAGTAGGTAAAGAGTTCCACCAGTGAATCACTGTCAAGACAAAGAAGTTGGAACTTGCAACCATTTTTGAGTGATTGTTCATCAATCTGTATGAACACATATATATATATATATATATATATATATATATATATATATATATATATATAGAGAGAGAGAGAGAGAGAGAGGCACAGTGGAGTAGTGAATATCACTCAGATTGAGGAATTGGAGCAGTGTTCAAATTCCAGTCGAATCCATTACATTCACTTACATGCTAATACCCTTAGGAAAAGTATTAATCCTCTGTTCTGTCCAGCTATGGGTAAGTAGCAGGACAGACTGGGTTCTATAGCCTTGGATGGCAACTGGTCTGAATTCAAAATCTGCAGAGAGTCGTTTGGGGACCTTGTGGCACATAATGCACCAGGTCTCTGTATTCAGCCCTTCAAAAAGTGTGGTTGGTTCTGCACAAAGCCTTCACCACTGGTTGTCGGTTCTTAGGAACTGAGCTGTTTGACCCTCATACGTCGGAGATATATATATATAAACGCTCGCTCAGGCTCATTTGTGTTTGTTCAACACCCACAGAGTCCACCTGTGGTTTATACTGCAACTATGCTAAGCAGACCTTAATTACAGTTTCTGGGAGAAAGCATGTTATCTAGTGTGATCAACAATCTGAACAAAGCCAGCACACTCAAACCCTCAGTCACGATGACTTGTGACTTTGTGCTAGCACAGCTATCAACACCCCCCACCCAAGTGTCTCATCTACCCAATTTCACTCACAAGGCTTGAGTCAACCCGTGGTATAGTTTTCAGGCATTTTCCAAAGGTGCCACATGCTGGGATTGTCCCCCTCCAGACCGATAACATCAGGAAGTCTCCTTCCTGCCAAATCAACCATGGTGAGTTTTGAGCCCAGGTCTCATGATCAGGAAGCAAACGTTCTAACTTCTAGCCACCCCTAGAATTAGCATAGAATGAACTTGATAGTAGAATGCAAAGAAAAAAAAAAAAAAAAAAAAAAAAAATGTAAAAGAGTTCTTAGAGTCATAGGAAAAAAAAAAAAAATTATATCAAACATACTTTCAGAAACTTTTGCAACTCATGCCAAAAATTTGTGTTGCAATAATGAAGACTGGAGAAGAACATTTTGAGGAGATCAAAATTTAATCAAAGAATGCTTTTTTTTTCTTTTTGTCATAAAATTCTAATAAAAATCATGTGTCATTTTTTTAATGATAATTTTCTCTTATTTAAAGTACAAAACAACTACTTTTTGTGCCAATTTAAAAATTACCAGGAGCTGTGTGTTTGTATATAAAGGTAAATAAAAACTAAAAATCTAAAAGCCAAGGCAACTTTCACCCTTAAAATGAGGAATCATCAGGCCAAATGCAATTATTTTTAGGGTGATAGTTGAGTTGCCTTACTTTAATTTTTTATTCTTCATTTATCTTATATTTTATAGGCTCTACATTGTATTGCACTAGAAACTAGAGGACTGATAAAATTCAAAATTGCAAGAAGATTTCATTCATTACCTATTATGCAATAAAATAAACTTGAAATCAAAGCTTGTAAAAATATAATTACAAGTATTTTATGATGGTGAAACATTACACTATGAGTAAAGATTGAAAGCTACAGATATGGCTAAGTATTTAACTAGAAATGATATGAGGTCTTTTATCATCACTTACATAAAAGATAAATGTTTCTATATAAAAAAAAACTTACCTAAGAGTGAAACACTTGCTGTAAGACTTGCAATTAAGTCGGCTATGTTACCAATACAATTGATATCCTAATTATTTACAAAATGATTCAAACCACCATGTTTTATACAAGATTAAGCCTATATAAAAAGTAGCACAACGATATTTCTTATTTTCTACATTATATATACTGATTGTATCATCCGTCAATTCAAATTGATTTTGAGTTAAATATAAAATTAGATTAACAACAGTACAAGAAACTATAATCAACAAGTAATTTTTCTTGTACTAAGTTAAGCACTTTACCAAGTTTCATTACCAAGTTACTTTGATAGAAAGCAACTGTGGTGTCATTGATAGGATTCTAAATACAAAATATCAATAAGTGATTTCAGAGGTGACATTTCAGAAAAGAAAAATAGTATAATCATTTGATATCTTAGTTTCAACCTTAAAATTTTACACTTTGATCCAATTATCTATAAAAAGATGAGAAATTAATAATTGATCAAAAATCCTTACTTTTCATGAGTATCCATCAAGTGATAGACATTTATTTACAGAAATCAACATTAATGAGCGAAAAGGGATTCAAAATATCAAATGTACTTACCTTTCCTATACATTGTTTTAATATACTCCATATACTGAAGTCATTTCTGGAAAACATGGGTTTTGGAAGACTAGTTCTGAAAAAGAAAAAGTGTAAATGGTTGAAAGAAAGTAAAAAGTTGAAAAAACTTTAAGTAATAAAATCTAATCAAATTTATATCACACAAGTTATTAGTAGAGAAGCCAAGCTTTAAAGAAATCTATATTTTAATTTCTCATGTCAGGTAAATGAAACACATGAACCAAAATTCAAGGAAACAGGAAATTCTACTTTTAAATTTAGCAACAAAACAGACGGGAAGTTTTCAAGAAAAATAATAAAAATGCAAGATTATATTTGAAAGCAGAAAATAGTGACCTAAGGAGATATCTTTATTGAAAATCAGTTATATTCATATGATATCCTGTTATTATAGTGATTTATTGAAACATTTAACTAATTATTCTTTAAATTTTTTAATGTTTAAAACATATATAGTTGATTACAAAAAGAAAAAGGTCCAACAGATAGAAACAAACATTTTCAAAAGAGCATTTTAATAGTTTCATATTTCTTACAAACTATAACATTTTAAGAAATACAATTTTTTTGATTTTTCTAAAAATAAATATCATATTCATTTAATAGTCTGTATAAGTGTTGCTATTTAAGTATGACTAAAGTGATCAAATCATAGTTTGCAAACAATATGAATTTATATCATTATTATTTAAATTGGCTTACTTATTTTTATCTTAATGAAAATAAAAGTATATTTGTGACAGAAACTAAATGGGAGTTGATTTGTAAACTTTGCTCTGTGGTTTCCAAGATGGAAAAATTTTATATAAGAATATTGAGTGAAAATAAGCACATTTATAATTAAATGTAAAGTCTATAATCAACTATTAATGGAATAGATAACGATTTTCGTATTCAAAATATTATTAATATTTTTTATATCTTGCATAGAAACAACAAATAAAATAAAGCAAATACATTAAATATTTGGACAATCTCCAATTTCCTACACTTCCTATCATTGTCCACTTTTATTTACATAAAAACAGATCTTTCAAATGTGTTTGACAATATTCATCACAAACTAATAAAATTATGTGAAAATTTACCAGAACTTACATGTACAAAAATAATAGAGAAAAACTTTTTGCTCTGCTATGAACTTGTTCCAGGAATATAAAGTAACCAGCATCACCAACTTGGTTCTTTGAAAAACAAGTCTTGTTTGTTAATGTAAACCATACAAGTTTTATGATATTATATATATATATATATATATATTTGTTGTAACCTGGGAGAGCTTACTAAATAGAATAATTACACAAAGGTCAGTAATGAACGATAATACTTAGGACAAGAACAACACATGAGATTTGCCAACGGCGTAAAGAAGAAGTAGTCACCTGCCAAGAAGTGAGTCAAGTGAATTTCACAATGAATCTCCAACTGCAGACCAACATACAGTATTTACTACTGTATTTATGTTAATGGGGACATACCCATTACTGTCTTTAAGTATGCTACAATCCCCCCACTTTTTGGATTTACTCTGTACAGAGTTAATATTTTTTTCTTTTTGCATTGATGTCAATCCTTTCTGTATCTCTTCTTTGTTTTACTCCACCTTTTTTGGACTTCTATCTCCAGAGCTTTCTCAGAGATGGGAATATTGAAAGTATCAAAAAGATACTCCATAGCTTCAACCTCGTCTAAAGTAGTGTTCTCTTCAGTTGAATACCTGCTTTTAATCTGATTATAGTGCCTCTTGTGCACTATTTCAGAACGTTTTACTAGATACACCATCTTTCCAATTCATCAGACAACAGTTCCAACTTTCTAACATGTTTTATTTGATTGGTACACATGGTAAAAAACCTTTTGATCAACTTTATAAAATATTTTTCAGGTTTTTGTACTGCATGATCATGTTTTTTCTTATTGGGTATAAGTTTGTCAAAAACTGATCATATTTTTTGCGCAAACATAATTTCTGCCAGAGTCATGGCCAAAGGTGCATTTCTATTCAGTGTAAGCCTATGTACCTGTAAAAATTGCTGTAATGCAGAATCTGTGGATCCACCATTGGCATTTTTTTAGCGCCCTTTTGAAGGTATCCACGAAATGCTCTGTATGACTGTTGCTTCTAGGATGGTAAGGGGCAATTGTTATGTGCTTTAGGACAATCCTTATACCAATGTAATTCTCCATAAGCATAACAGGGATTAGGAGTGATACTTTTTTCTTCTTCACTTTATGCTTTTAATGCACTTTTTTTAATGTGCAACATGCCGCTTATTTCAATATTTTTGGCATCTCGATGAACATTTATAAATTTCTGATAATCTTCTGCTAAGTTTTGCAATATTAAATTGGGTTTGTTTTCCAATTTATTTAAAATCCTTCTTTGGATTTCAGCATCTTTTGTTGACACCAACGCTTACACAAATATTTAAAATTGTCAGGACTTAATTCTGCCAATTTGAACTTATAACAATTTTTGTTCACAATGCTCACGAACGTTGTGAAGTTGTCATTTTTGTCTTTCATTAAATTCATACATTTATATCTTTGATGGAACAAAGACATTTTCAGCTGAAAACTTCCAAAAGCAAAGTAACCATTTGTTTAAATGTTAGGTCACTAGTCTTCTTTGATAATATATAGTTTATGAACTTAGTGTGTTCGACAGTGCCTAGTTTCCTTAGCAAAAGTCTGCCCTTTTTATCATTGGATCAGTATGCACAAATCTTTGTATCTACAGAAATACAATGAAAAAGTAAACTCTTTTTCTTGTAGATAGTGAAATTCCGCAATCACATTTATGATAACGTCTTCAGAATATCCATTATTATTCGTGAATATTTTCTATTGTTCTACCAACATTTCCACAAGTTTTTCAAGTTTTTTGTTTGTACCATTTCTACTGTTTGTCTTGCCATTTGACCATTTTAAGTAGTATTGTTTTAAAGTCTTCCCTTTTGATTTTCTTCCAATGAAGCCTTGGTAAATTTTAACAGGTGATTTTGGTGATTAGGTAAATCTTTATCACTAAAATGTTGTATTTTGGCCAATCCTCGTCACCAAAATGCTGTAACCTGGGAGAGGTTACTGAATAGAATAATCACACAAAGGTTGATAATGAACCATAATACTTGGGACAAGAACAACACATATAAGATCTGCCAGTGGCGTGTAGAAGAAGTAGTCAACTGCTAGAAGCGAGTCAAGTGAATTCCACAATGAATCTCCAACTGCAGACAAACATACAGTATTTACTACTGTATTGATGTGAATGGGGATATCCGTAGGTATGCTACAACTTATATAAATTACCTTTTCAGTTAAAGTGATTGAAAGGTTTCAGCTATCAATACTATTCATAAATGTTTACACTCAGACAATTAGAAACAATAATTCTTTAAGAAATTCTAAGAAAACATAAAAAAAACATGTTACAATATGTTAATTCAGTTACAGAGAAACTGGTTTTAGTAATACAGAATTTATAAAATAATATTGTTATGAAATGTAGTTATGAGTATATGCCTATTTGTCTGAATCTTATAAGACTGGTTTCATTATGAAGCAAAAAGAATACTTACTGAAACTGTGACACTAACAACGTGATTCACACAGATTCTTATAAATAACTTTTGGTGAAGGCACAAAGATATGAATCTGTATCAGAGTCAATTGGACAGAAGCCAAAGAAATATACACTGATTGATTGACACATTGATTTAACAGATATATACACAGATACACATACATCCTATTTGTTCACATAGTTAAAGAAGATATATGTGTGCATATACACTGAAAGTACACAAAATACATTTACATAACACAAATGTAGAGAGTTGTTTTGCTTTAATTATCACCATAACAGTAGCAAGAAGCAATGAAGTATAGACACCATTGTGGTGAAAAATAGAAAGAGAAAAAAATTGTAAGTAAAACTGATAACAGTGAAGCAGATAGTTAAATGAAGTTAACACATTCTAATTTTTTTGCTCTTTGCACATTGTTCAGTATGCAAGAGCAACAAAGCTAACTAAATGTAGACATAATAAATTAAAAGAAATGTGTGTGTGTATATATATATATATATATATATATATATATATAAGGCAGCATATCTTCATTCAAACAGGTTTCATTGAATAATTCACCCCTGTGGATGATCTCAAAGGTGATCGAAAGTACTTTGGTAGGAAAAAATTACAGTGCCTTCCTTGATGAATTTCATCTTAACATCAAGAAACTGATTAGAGAACTAGAAAGGATTATTATAAAAATAAATAGACATAATATGTCTATATTATTTAGTGAAACATGTTTGAATATATACAATTAATTCAGAAAAGGACCATGTAAAATAAGTTGGTAAATTTTCTAAATGTATTTATTCATTTTTACAGCCAAACACATTTATATTAAAATGTGTTAAGATGGCAAGTGGGATTTTTTTCTGTAAATGAAAACATTCACACATTAATATACATTTTGCTCAATATATATAGAAAAAAGTTCTAAACAGACAAATATTTCAAGAAATCACTAATTAGATCTTTCTTCCCATCTATATTATCAGCAAAAGATAGAATTAATAGGTTATCTATGTCATTTTATATTTAAATGCCTGTCAAGTCAATTTAAACAAGACTTTCTAGTATATTAAAAACCATTTGTCAAATATTGGAAAGTGAATTGGGCTGAGAAATTTTCAGCACTCTCATATATAATCCACTTCCATCTTGTTAGGCATGTCAAAAGCTTCAATAAAACTGCCAATCATGCATTTTGGTAACAGATATGTATTGGCATTGTTACGTTAGATCAATAATTGTACCCCCCCTTAGATTTTACAAGTATATTTTTAATACCTTACATATTTGCAATGAGATATGAGAATAACAGTTGTCTCTCTATTTCTTTGAATATGCAGATTAAGGAATATTTTTGTACCCGGTTAAACTAAAGCCAGTTCTTGGAAGAGAACCTTCTTTTCCCCAACCTTCTGTCTGGTCTCTGATCGCAGGCCAGATGAACACTGCTTGTCTGATAAGTACAAGT